TGTATAAGGAGGGGATATAGGCAAAAACAAAAATAATGTGGGTGATATAAAGTAATTATGGTTGTATTTAGCAATTCACTATAAAAATAATTACTTCGTACCTTATTAACATATACGGAGTAAAAGAAAAGTTAAAAAGAATGTAAATTATAAAAAGAAAATATCGTACCATTTCTATTTATCTCCTTCAATAAATTGTACAAGTAGAAATTAAACCATTTTTGTTTTATCCAATCAAAACCCAATTTAAACAAGTGGCTTCATCACTTTCTTTTCTTTTTTAACCAAGATGAAATAAAATTGATTTTAAGAACAAAGAGCAAAAATGAGCTTAGTAATATAGATGAGACCATGACTTCTTAACTTGTTTAAGTAGATTCCCCATCATCTAATTGTAAAATTTGCTACATAAAGAGCAAAATGAAGAGCTAGATCTACGATGATGTACACGCGGAGTACTATACGTTCCAAACACCCAAAATCAATAATTACATTGATATTTCTAATTTAAATTAGAAACATGACAATTATATTCGATCCGTACAAAACATGTAATTAGATGATTGAAGATCTACATTTTCTAGCTTGTCGATACGATACTATATACTAATATTAGTAAATTTGACAATTGACATAACTACTTGATGGCCTTGCAATTTCGCTTCCAAACCCGGATTAATTATACACTGTCACTTAATTTAGATGACAATCTTTGTCACATATAGAAAAATATACCGTTACACATTTTCACCCCTCAAGCACCATACCATAATCTAGCTAAAAAAAAAGCAAAGATAATTAAATAATTAAGATGTTGTTTATGAAGGAGATCTTCAATAATAAGATAATTAAGTTACCAAATTTAAGGAAAATCTCTAGGGTTTCCATGGTGATGATGCTCCATACCTCTTCCCATGCTATCAACTCGAAAATCTCTAGGGTTTCCATGTTGGTGATGAGATTCCATACCTCTTCCCATGCTATCAACTCGAAAGTCTCTAGGGTTTCCATGGTGATGAGACTCCATACCTCTTCCCATGCTATCGACTCGAAAGTCTCCATTGTTATTAGCAACTTTAGCACTAGGAATAGACCTTGCCTTAGGGTCAAATCCCATCATGATATCGCCTTCCTTAGACCGGTATCCAAACTCAAGGTCTCGGTCCTTAGGCCGCCCTCCACCGTGTTGCTTGTTATTATTAATGCTAGATTTGCCACTACCCTTGTGGTTATTATTACCTTGATGGTGGTTCATCATCATATGATCATGGTTAATGTTGTGGCTATTACTTCCATGACCTTTCTTTGACTGCTTGTGACCTTTAGAGTGATGGGACTTGGATGACTTGTCGGATTTCTTACCACAAAACCGGCCAAAAACACAAGCAACAGCTGAGACTACTAGAATGATAGCAAGGACTACAAAGACCATCCCAAAGGAGCCACTCGAGTGATCATCGGAGCTCGTGTTTTGATCATTGCTTCCCATTGAAGAGGTTGTAGTAGTTGGTGTTGGGTAGACCACCCCGGCTTGAAACGAACCTTGTTGGGGTGGTCCGGGGTTTGGAAGCGTTTGAAATGAAGCAGACATTTTTGAGTGGTTGATATTTTGTTTTCAAGTTTATGTCGAAAGAGGCCGGGTTTTAGGATCTGATGGATGTTTTTAAGGGTAAGAGAAGTAATGTAGGAGAAGCTAAGCTAAGCAAAAGCAAGAAGCATAGTCTCTTACAAGCTATGGTTTATATTGTAGAAGTGGATATGATAAGAGGGTTTTTATTTTTTGAATTCAAAAAGGGAGGAGGAGCTTATTAAGATGATTTGCTTTTTCTTTTTTCTTTAATAAAGAAAAAAAAAAGGGGGAAGCTAAGCTAAGTAAAGATTATTCCTTACTACGGAATAGAAGGAATACTTAGGCAAGTTTTCCTGATTTTTCTGCTTTTTATGAAGAGAAAGCAATAATTTTTATCCTTCCATGGCCACATTCTCAAGTGTGTCCCCAAGAAAGTGTTTGTTTAAGTTCATATTGATCATTAACTTTTGCTTTTTAGAATTAGTGCTTCTTAAGGGGGTCCATGATTTTCATGTTTATGTATCATGTCTTAGTCTCTAGCTCTTAGAGATATTATAAAGAACATGACTGTAGTGGATCGATTATAAAATCAACAAATTTTAAGAATAATCACACATATACAATATACCTAACTAGTGTCAGCAGACCTATCAATATTATGTTTAAAACTTTACGGGGTAAATTATGAAGAGTAACACCTGATCTGATGATTTGACTAACGTCTCAAATTGAAGTACATTATCAACCTTGGTTTCCCTTTATTATCTCAAGGATTCAACCCAAGACCGCGTAACTTGCTCTCTAACTTCCCTTCCCCCATCTGTTGTTTTAGATCGAAAGGAGACGAGCTCAGCTCTTGGTTGATGTGACTTCATTCTTATTGTCCTTAATTACTAGGCTACTCCATTCCTTGTACACAAAATGACAATTAAGGTATCAAATCATGTTAAAGGAACAAATTATTATGTTGCAAGTCAAAATTATTGGCGTGGGGTGAGCAGTGAGCTAAATTTGTATGCATGACGTTAACGGCTATATACATTCACACAAATTTTCATTTGAACAAAAAGAAAATAATAGGCAAAAAAGAGAGAGATTATACATACTTAATTGAGTAAAAAGGAAATTACAAAAATGGGAGTAATTAGAGGCAGTGACAAATTAAAATTTTTTTTTGAGAGATTTGCTTTTGCCTACCAAAAGGGAACACTTAACACGCCGAGCAATATAATCAATTTTTATCTTTATTCTTTGCTTTTTTTTTTTTTTAAAGAATGATTCTGACAGAATGTGGTAGGCCTTTTTCATTTGATTTTATCTGTCTTAGTTTTATGATATGATTACTTGTTAATTAGGATTTTTGATCGCTTAATCATTATTACCATCAGTAACCCAATAATGAGGAAAGAATCCAGGCTGCTCTATCGTCAAGGCATAGAAACTTGTAAGGTAACATTTTTAGGTAGTAGCAATTGCTAGGCTCTACGGAATATTTGGCAATTTGCGGGTTGATTGCTAGCTGGTTGTATTAGATGGCTTGACTTATTATCATTGTCATGTTTTAAATTTCTCATTCCATTTATATTTTGACTTAGTATAAGATATTGTACTAACTTGAATTGAAATTACTCAAGCTGAATTTTGAATATATGACTATATTCTAGATCCGTTGTATTAAATTACACGGTACACTTTCTTATAAAAATTATAGTAGGATTTTAAATATGCATTTAAAATAATCCAATTCGAAGTAATGATTTCATCAGGATTGCTTAATATCCCCATTAACAAATCAACGTGCATGTTATATGTTAAAATCAAATTAAGTAAGTTTGATGCTCTCTTCCCTACGCATAAGATTAAGTTTTTTTTTTTCTTTTATAATTTGTATTTACAAAATGTAAACGACTCAACTACGTTCCTTTTCTTAATCAGGCTTAACAATGAAACACTATAATAGTGTGATTGGGTTCTCCTCCTATACATGTTTGCATCATTCGCGGATAGAAGATTTCGACGTGTTTATGGTTGGAAAGATGTAGGCACCAAACACAATCCTGGAAGTTACTTGGACATACTATAGTTCTGGTCCAGCATGCCAAAAGTCACAAAAGCAATATAATTCAGTATTCTGTTACATTGTTTGCTCGAGTAAAGTAAGCATCTATATTATAAAGTAAGTAGGCAAATCGAATATGTACCCTGTAATGCCTGAAAGTTATTGGCCTTTCAAAAACTAGATCGAACAAACTGAATTGAACCTTAATTCTAAGATGTACTTAGATATAGATATCATATAAATATATAATAATTGAGTTTAGGTGAACTTGTAAGTTGTAACATATTCCACTTGGTCTTATTTATATTGTTCCAGCTTGGTTTATTCATTCTTATTTGATTGAAAGGATACTTTTGGTTGATAAAAGAACCACCTTCTAACAGGGAGATATGATTCAGGTTTAAGTTCTGTTATATGCTATTCTCTAAATTATGTAAGATAGTATTGATTCGAGTTTTGTGACTTTAATCATTAGGTTCGCCTAAAGTGAGGCTTCCTTTAGCATTGGTGGCGGAGCTACATTGCCAATTGTGAGGTCAATTTTATATATATATATATATTTATATATAGTGAGTTTTCGTTATAATTTTGAGAGTTATAGAAAGTTTATTTAATCCTAGGAACTCAAATTTATTGGACCTTACTAACTTAAATTTTTTCCTAAAATCGCTACTGTTTTTATCAAAGATTCTTCTAGATTAAATTATTTCTCTTTTAAAATTGAATATTTCAAATGAGACAAAAGGGAATAGAGAGAGAGTACCTCATTTAAAAATTACAATACATACTACTCTGGTCCGAAATGTTGGTCCGCATTACATGTTATGTTTGATCGTCAATTTTGGTCCAAGTTAACAGTAAAAAGATTTATTTGGTCCCAAGTAAGAAACCCACAGACATCAAAACTACATAGAATCTGCCTTTTCTTTTCCTCCTAATTATCAATTTGTGCGGCTAAAGCTTACATTACATATGATACCCAAATAGTACACGGAGATGTGTATTGTGTAACATCACATGGTGCATGAGTGTATACCACACATCGACATATGTGGTACACACGTCGCCATTTACATTTGTTAAGTAATTTGTATGATCATTCTCAAATTGTCTCAAATGGACTGGATTGTGTAGTACCGGACGATCTGACATGACTTGACCTTGCACTCCATAATCTGCTTGTATTAAGATCCTATAAGTGGATGTTAACCTTGATACTTCCTTGTACTAGAAGCCAACAAGCTAAGTTAAAAGTGTTTTTGTTTCCTAGTTATTAGCAGATAGCTATATATACTATACATCTTTATTAAACTTAAAATTATTATACAAATGTTTAAAGTAACACACCACTTACATGCACTAATACTTGGACCTAAAAGACCATATAGCCAACATTGGTAGGTGATCCTCATAAAAAATAAGAGATAAAGTTTTAGGTACATCTTATTTTCAAAAATCTTTATTTGACCGACCCATTACCATGCACCAATGCAAAAGCTATTTCTCCCACAGGTTGATAAAAAGAAGCTCACCTTATAATAACAATTAAAATTAAAAATCGATTAATCATATTTTTTTTTATTTTTTTTTTTCGAAAAAATAAAAAAGAAAATCTTCATTGGTTTGTATGAAAGTGAAAATCACAACAGATCCCTAGGTAAAAAAGTTAATCATTCATGATCCATTTTTTAAAAAAAAAATTGACTGTTCATACCAAACTATTAACCCAAAATAAACCCTCTTCCAAACTTTTAAACTAATTTCACCCTAATTTTCTCTAATCTCTCATCTTTAAATTTCTCCTCTTTTTTATCCATTATTATCTCATTGTTTCAAATATCAATATGAAATCCCACTTTTCTATACCTTCACTTGCATCATTTCTCTTCTTCCTATTCTTATTCTCACCTTCAAGTGGTAAGTTACTTAGATTGTACTTTGTATATATTTTAGTGACAACAAAGTTAATAGTGAACATATACGACTAGTTTGGTAGGCGGTTGCATAGTATTATAGTGCGATATGATTAGATTAATTACTACTCCTTCCTTTTGGAATTATAGTCATGTTGCTCGACTAATGACGTAATTGAACCAGCAACATGGCTACTAATTCCCGAGGGAAGGAGTAATAGAATTACTTTAAATTGTAGTACATACCATACTAACATCTAATACGTAATATAGTTCTAATTAATTAACACAACGCTAATAATAATTTTCTATATAAATTTTTTTTTTTTAAATTTCTTATTTGATCATAAAATTTCCTCTGTTCCTTGCAGCTGCACCAGTTGGAATATGCTATGGAAATATAGCAGACAACCATCCACCACCATCCTCAATAGTCTCCCTCCTCCAATCGAACGCGATACCGACGTTTCGAATCTTCAAACCATCACCAGAAGTGTTACAATCATTCTCAGACTCAGGGATCAACCTAATGATAGGTGTCCCAAATGAAATACTACCTTCCTTAGCCAATAACCCTGTTACATTTTCTTTACAATGGCTTCAATCCAACATTTTAGACTATTTCCCACCTACACAAATCAAATACTTAGCCGTTGGAAATGAAGTTTTTGTAAAAGATCCATATTACACACCTTTTGTAGTCCCTTCAATTTGGAACCTTCATCAAGCCTTAAAAACCCTAAATTTAGATCAAATGATAAAACTGTCTACCCCACATGCGGCGTGTGTTCTTGGGACTTCTTTCCCCCCTTCAAATGGGAGTTTTAATCATGAAATTGTGCAACAAATGATCCCTTTGTTACAATTTTTGCAACAAAATGATTCACCCTTTATGGTAAATATATACCCTTTTTTTAGTTACATAAATAACAAAAAAGATATTGGTCTAGACTATGCCCTATTTAACTCCCAAGGTTATATGTTGGATAATGAGTTGTACTATAACAACTTGTTCGATGCCACGTTGGACTCGTTCGTGGTGGCGATGGAGAGGGAGGGGTTCCCTGGGGTACGAGTCGTGGTGACGGAGACAGGGTGGCCTACGGGTGGGGGCGAGGACGCGAGCCCGGATAATGCTAGGATGTACAATGGTAATGTTGTTAGGCGCGCTAGAGGAGATGTTGGGACTCCTATGAGGCCGGGTGTTGGAGTGGAGGTATTTTTGTTTGATATGTTTGATGAAAATGAGAAGGATGGAGAAGAATATGAGAAGCACTTTGGGGTTTTTGAGCTTAATGGTATGAAGGCTTATGATGTTAGCTTTACCTAGCTAATGTAACATGGTTTATTTGATCACTAAATTTTCATGTCATTGTCTTGATATACTTGTAAAGTTGTTCTAGTTCATATACTTTTATCATGCATTCCTCCAACTTCAAACTAAATTAGAATGTACTTGCATTAATGCATATATGTTACAACAATATATTACGTGCAAAGAAAAACAATTTTATGTACTTTTTTTGTAGCAATTATTTGGGAAGTAGATATTAGAGAATTCTTTGTCATTTTTTTAAGATATATATTGGCGTGAATTTATACTCTCCAGATCCGATCATTTTTGAAATAGGTTGATATCAACTTAAATAATGTGATCTAAATATAGCCTTATTATAATTTTTTATTATTTTTTTTTTAAAAAAAAAGCACCCATTGTATAATTTGATTTTGACAAATAATATGAATTTCGTTTTCTTTAATTGATCTTTTGACTAATTTTTTCCTAATTTGTAGGCCATTAGGAATCTATGCAAATTCTTAGCTACACGCTTATGTAGGTAAGCTAGCTGCACTAGCTTCATATATATGAACACATAGTACTTTAAAAATGAACTTACGTTTTTTTTTTCTTTCATTAATTATTCGGAACTCTCTCTCTCTTCTCTTTTCTTACCTCTATTAATTTTCTCTCTCCTCTGTTTTCTACTTATTTTGAAACTTTCTCTCTCCTCTATTATCTCTATAAAAATGAGCATGTAAATGCCTCACTTTCCTTCAATCATTGTTCTTCTTTGTCCTTCTATTTCGAGCATTCTCCAATTCGTCATCATTGTAGCATTCTCCATCGTCATCATATTCATCGCGGTCGTGAATCGTGAGGTAATTTTGAATTTTTTTTTTTTTTTGTGGTTTTATAAATACGTGATTGTTATAAAATTGTTGATTTTTATCAATTTTGCATTTGTGATTCTAAATCAATCATATTATAGATCAATAATTATTTTCTCTATGATGAACCAAGATAAGATTTAAGGTGGATATTTGAATTTCAGAGTTAAAATAATTACAATCCAACTTGTGTATAATTTCCGTAAAAAAAAAGAAAAAAAAAATCCATAGTACTTTAAAAATGAACATGTAGTACAAAATGAACTTTAATACACTAAAAATGAACATATTTTAACGATTTATTTTATCTTTATTTTCGTTAATATGTAAAGAATTTGAAACTTTATGAATATATGAAAAATCATGTTCATTTTTAATATACTAAATGTTCATAACTTTTTTTGACGTGTTCATTTTTATTTAATAAGTGTTCATATTTTTTATGAAATGTTCATTTTATTAGTTATGGTCTAGGTATTCAATGATTGTATGATAAGTGTTCATTTGTAATATACTAAATATTCATATTTTTTATATGTGTTCATTTTTTATTACTAAATGTTCATTTTTTTAACGTGTTCATATTTATTTATTTATTTTTTTTTTTTTACTTAATGTTCATTTATAAGGCCGTTGTCTAGCAATTCTATGATTATATGATAATCATGTTCATTTTGAATTTGCAATATGATCATATTTTTTAACGTATTCACTTTTTAATACTAAATTTTTATTTTATTAACGTGTTCATTTTTATTACTAAGTGTTTATTTTTTTTACATGTTCATTTTATAAGTCGCGGTGCATCTATCCTAGCTGCACCCTCAAAACACTCTGGCATGGGTTTGCGAAAATACAGGCCCAACAAGTATAAACCTATTGATAAGGATAAAGATCCTACTACTTAGTTTTCATATTTTTTTACTACATGTTCATTTTATAGGTTGTGGTGCATCTATCCTAGCTGCACCATCACCACGAGCACACCACCGGCGCCTAGGGAGGAGGAGAGAGTCGTGTGAGAGAGAGAGAGAGAGTTTGAGGAGGTTGGTCTTCGTGTTTGCTAATTAGGGTTTGATCTCACTGATCATGAATTGTCTTGTTCAACCCTAGACACCTAGTCTATTTATAATCTTATTATAATTAGACTAGGATTAAAGCCCAAAACCTCCTAAACACCTCCATATGGCCGGCCACCTAGGGGATGAGACCCATCACGGGCCTCATCTTCTTATACTTGATCTAGGCCCTTTGTGTGACCTTATATGATCTGTCCAATTGGGCTTTAGCCTATTTTACTAGCCCAAAGACCGTTAGTACCTCTAGTTATGATATAACGACGACCCAAATGGACGAACTTAATTATCTCCATAATTTGATCCATTATATATCTAGTAATTGCACTTGACGAAGACATAAATTCTTCATCAACCCCCTCTCCCAAACCGCCAGACTAACCCCGTACTTGCTGGCGACCACCCCTGTCTACGGGTCCCCCACAAAACCCCGCAAATACCTCACCTAGCCTCAACGACCCCCACCCAGACGGCCAGACCCCTGCTACCCTAACCCGCCTAACCCTATCATTGCTGGCGACGACCCACCCAGCTCCATCTACCCCCTGAAGCGAACCCCCACCCAGCTCCAACTACCCCCCGCAAGTGAATCCCCACCCAGCTACCACCCTATCCCACCCAGTCAATCAAACCCACACACCAACCCACTAAGCCAGTGCGACCCCGGGGCACCCAACCCTCCTACACCCAGACGACAACCCAATTTTTTATTTATTTATTGTAAATAAAATTAATGTTTTGTATTTAAATTTAATACACGTATTAAATTAATTTTTCTTTAGTTGAAAGTTAATTATGGTATACTTAAACTTTGGCTTATGATTTCCTTCAAAAAAAAAAAAAAAAAAAAAAAAAAAAAAAAAAAAAAAACACTTCGACTTATGATGGTTAATTTTCCACTAAATTATGCAAAGTATAATTTATTTATCTTTTCTTGAGATTTATGGATAGAAAAATACCATCATCTAGTATTATTTATTCTTTTTGACAGGTTATCTAGTTTTATATGTATACAATTACAAAGTAGTGTTTTAGTTTGATAAAATTACTAAATTAGATAGACGGCACAATAGACACATGATAGACTTCAAAATATTAATACATAAATGAAAAAAAAAAGGAAAAATTGGTTTTAATAATTTCAAGTTGACCGATTTTCTTTAAATAATCCCAACTTTTAATTACTCTGAGATAATCCCAACTTATATAGGTATCTTCTAATAATAATCCGAACTTTTATTTTTGTTTTACATAATAATCCCAAAAGGATCGGCAAAAGCAACAAAAATAACACTTTGGATTATTTTAGAAAGATGCCTATATAACTTGGGATTATTATTAAAAAAAAAAAAAAAAAAAAAAAAAATTGGAATTACTTTAAGAAAATCAGTTAAAGTTAACATTATTAAAATCAAAATTTCCAAAAATCTAAAACAAAATAAAAGATAAGAGATTTTATATCAACTTTTCAAGCCAATAATTACCTATATATATAGGTTATTACTTATTATATATACTTCTTATCAATAACATAATACTAAAACAGACACTTCCTAGTGCTGTATTTTCCCTCCAAAACTGTTTTCTCCTTTTTTTTCAAATATATTTTATATATATTCATCAAATCATTTGATTGTGATTCACTTTCCTAGTAAAAATATATATATTTGTGATTCACATATTTTTCATATCTTTTATTGTATATATTATTATTATTATTATTATTATTATTATTATTATTATTATTATTATTATTATTATTATTATTGTTATTATTATTATTATTACTATTCAATCTATAACGTAATATTAAAACAGACACTAGGAAAAAAATGACTCTAGAAATAACACGTGTCACAATTTGGTACCATTTTTTCCTCTAAGTTTTTTTCCACGGTGACATCAACTACTTATTGTAAAATATACTAAAATTATTTACCAAATCATTCACTTACTTAAACAAAATATATATTTGTGATTCACATATTTTCCATAAAATACTATTCTAACGTCTATTACTTTGTATATATATGGAGTATATATTATTTCCTAATCCTTATGTAGTATTTTATTCCTTCGAATCTTCAATATATTATATATGCAGTAATTTTGTAACAAAAAAAAAAAAGTTATGCGTTTTAGAAATAATTGATACTTGATTATTAATATTACTATTACTATTAATATTATTCCCTAAGCCTTCTTTTGTTATTCATTATTCTCTATTTAGAAATTTCAAAATGTTTTAATTTCTTATTAGGGAACAGCTTCCTAATAGCATAACTTTTTTTTTTTTACAATATCAATCTTATTTGATTTATTTCAATTTTTAGTTATTTATGTATATCAAAAGTACGACAAATTAGATATGTTTTCCACTATCCTAAATTGTATCAAATACGCTGTAGTAATTATTTATGTTACAATCCCATAGTGTTTACAATTTTAAAATACTTAATTATTTAGTAAGTAAAAAGAAAAACGATATCAATTTATTATTAAATTTTAAACTTATTTGTCTAATTACTCTATTGTCATTATATTTCATGTTTCATTTCATTATATACATAAAAAAAAAAAATAATAAAATAAAATAAAATACTATGGTTACATATTGTGTCCACATGCATTATACAAAATATTTATTTTTATTTTTTAAAATTTTTGTGTTGAATTATAAACAATAGTGAAATTAATTACCATGCATGGCACGGAACCTAATCTAGTATTGTTATTGTATCTTTGCCAAAGGAAAAAAATTTACAACAGCATGATCACAGAGTCATCAACAAAAACAACCAGCGTTCGTCAAAGAAAAAAGCAAAAACAAAGAGCAAAATGATAGAGACTATGATTATGTCTCTGTTCGTTCTAGATTATTCTAGTCCTTAATGGACATTTCTGTATTCGTTGTATATATATTTATGTAGAATTTTCCCAAAACTACTCTAGTAAGTTGTATAATCTAGATATTTCCCTAGTCTAGTAAGTTGTAGTATCTAGATATTTCCCAAGACTATTCTAGTAAGTTGTAATTCTTATAAATACATATTTGAATGAATAAGAGAAGACAAGAGGGATTACAAAACTAACATGGTATCAGGCTAAATACTCTGTGTCTCAACCTCCATTTCTTTTCTTTCCCGTGTAACCCTTTCTCCAATACACTTTAATTTCTGCCATGGCTGTAACCGACGATACACATCACTCCTCTTCCTCTTCCCCTTCTTTTCACCCTGCATATGCTGTAACTAACATCAAAAACCTCATTCCTATAACTCTTGACAATGAGGACA